TACACTCTAAAATAATAATTAAAATATAGTAAATATATAAACCAATAACAGTCATTTCTTATCAAGTATTACATACTGTACATAATTGTATGTGCTAGAATTTTCCATGACTGGCAGCACAGTAGGTTTCCAGCAGCATCATTGTGAACATGAGTAATGTATTGCTATGACATCAGTAGGCTGTAGGAATTTTTCAGCTGCATACCGCTGTTGTATATGTGGTTTGTCATTGATGAAACTGTTGTGTGCTACATGACTGAGTGTGAGTGCATATATAATGTTAATGTGGTCTTTAATTGAAGTATTTAATCTATTTACATTTAATGTTATTATTTATATATTGAGTTTTAGTTACCATTTTACTATTTGTTTTCTACTTGACCCACCTGTTTTATATTCCTTTTTCTCTTTTTTTAGCTTCATTTGCATTAATTTTTTACTACATCATGTTCCTTCTACTAACTTGTCAGTTACACATTTGCTTATTATTGTTTTAGTGGTTACTCTACAAATCACAACATATATTTTTAATTATTACTGTCTAACACAAAATAGTCCTTTTCTGCTTTTTCAATAATGCTAGAACCTTCAAATGTTTTAACTCCATCCACTCTCTCCATCTTATGTGTTATTGCTGACATGTATTTTCATAAGACATTATATTTACTTTATACAATCAGTACTGATTTTTATTTATCAACACATTTACCCTTTCCATGGCTTACTACTTAATGTCTTTCTATATGTTCATTTCATAATCAATATTGCCAGAGGTTTTTGTAGTCTTTTCAAATAACTAACTTACTTACTTTGTTAAATGTATTATATATATTTTATTATAACTTTCTCCAGTTATCTTCTTTTCTTATTCTTTTAATTGTGTAAATATTTATTCTGTTTTTTTATCTGCTTGATCTATCAATAACTAGGAGAGTTACATTTAAATTGCTCAGTAAAGTGATACATTTATCAGTTTTTCCTGTAATTCTACTGATTTTTATTATATATCCAGAAGCACATAGAAATTTAGACGTTATATATTCCTGGTGGATTAAACTTTTAACTACGTAGAGGCCTTCTCATAATGCATTGGCTTAAAACATTTTTAATTCAATGTTAAAATAATCTTTAGCTTTCTTTGAACAGTATTTTCCTGGAATATCCTCACTTTAAACATTTTTCCACTATTCTTATATTTTTGTATATCTGTTGTATACATCCTATTGTGATAATTTCCTTTTTTTTGACCACTCTGACAATCTCTATATTAAATGATAGTTACTATTTAGTCTTTTATTCATATATTTGACTTTTTGTCATCTTTGTAGTTCTATTTTTTCATCTTTTATGCTTATTTTTTTTGCCTTTCTTTAGACAATCTGAATTAGTCCCACTTTTGAAAATATTCTTAATTCCTATTTTCCCTCCACTATTTAGAAAATTACTCTCTCCATTCCTATGATGAGTATCTTTGATACTACAGGACACACTTAATTTAACAATGTTGAGGTTAACCAATATCTTACAGCTTTTTTCCTGAACAGTTCATTAATGTTAAAACACTTATATTCAGATCACCCTATCCCAACTTACGTCCTATTTCTATTCTCTATTTTAGTAATTTATTAAAACTGTAGTTGTATTAACTGTAGTTGTATTTTAGTGGAGGGCCTTTCAGAATATCATGTTGGGGGCCCTGAAAGAGGCAGGGATCATCTCCCTTTATTTGCTGACCCAGTTCTCTGCTTTTGAGCTGGTTTCTTGACTCAGGGTGTATTCCTCATTGTTTGGATGGATTATTCAACGGCCCCATAGCTCTTTTGCCTTGGAACTGCTTCTCTGTAGACCGGTTGCCAAGGTTTAGCAAATGAAGCCAAGCACCAAGCAATTGCTGTAGGTCTTTTCCTGAAATCTTCTCTAACCCTCAATAGTCCCTTGGACTTGTCTGGGAGTTAAGATGTACAACTAATGAAGAAAACACAAACAGAAGAGCAGAGAAGTCGTCTTATGGGATACCCTGAGAATCTGCAGTTTTGATTATATTCCTGTGCAAATGGCCATTTTGCAGCATTGTTACATTCTGCAGAGAACATTACTAAGATTTATTTTCTATTTAAATGGAGATTTGGCTATTTTCTTTCATGGCATTTGAATCTTCTTGCTTCGACTACCTGCTATTACAGCTTCTGGAAGTCTTTACCTAACCTTACAATTTTTTTTTTTTTTGTGAGACGGAGTTTTGCTCGTTACCCAGGCTGGAGTGCAATGGTGCGATCTCGGCTCACCACAACCTCCGCCTCCTGGGTTCAGGCAATTCTGCCTCAGCCTCCCGAGTACCTGGGATTACAGGCATGCGCCACCATGCCCAGCTAATTTTTGTATTTTTAGTAGAGACGGGGTTTCACCATGTTGACTAAGATGGTCTCGATCTCTTGACCTCGTGATCCACCCGCCTCAGCCTCCCAAAGTGCTGGGATTACAGGCGTGAGCCACCGCGCCTAGCCCCCTACAATTTTATTCTTTAGCTCTCAACCTCCTCTGAAGAGCCCTTATCTTTATGGATTACCAAATAAACTAGTTTGTGCTGATTATTTTTTTAGAATTTGAATTGCATTCCTCCTTCTTCCTGAAACCTCGGTGTAAACATGTGCACGCATGCACACTCACACACACTAAAGACAAGAGGAACTGCACATTCAGAAATATCTTTACTTTTGCTGGTCTGACAACCACTTGGTTTCTTTTTGTTATTAAAGATAACAAACGTGGTGTCTAAAGAAACCTGGACTCCTCCTTGCTTGATCTCCTGGACTTCCCCAAGGATAAATTAAGTTATTCCACTTCCAAGGAGATGTGCTCACGTTTGAAACATTGTATCAGCTATTTTGCCATAATAAAGGTTAGTGATCACATGGGTTGTGCATCTACTTTTTGGCTCTTTTAGTCTTTCCCTCTCTTATAAACTAGAATAGTGGGTCAGTGAGCCAGCATCACTAGAAATATAAGGAGATGGAAATAATTGTAGGTATATTCCTCTCAGCAATTGTGGCTGGAATATTTAGGTCAGCCAAGGGAGATGCTAGAGGTTAAACAAACTATTTTTAAAATACTGGTGTGGAAGGGTACCAGATTATTAACCTGCCCAGCATGCCATCAGTTATCATTTCTCAGTTCAGCTTTCATTCTAGAAAACTATTATGGGGCCCAGTTAACTCTCATTTGGATTGCTGTCCTTCCAGCCAGTCTGATGAATCAAAATTTTTCAAGACATTTATTTATTAAATATGATCTCATTTTTCCCATATGGCAGGGTGGTCCAGAGGCTGCAGCCTTGACTGAAGGGGACCAGAAAAACGTGTCTCTGCCATCTCTGTGGGACTCACTGGGCTTTTTCTCCTCTACTACACTACTGCTCAGCCGAAACAATGTGTCTTCTATAGATCCATTACTTCAGTTGGGCTTTGAAGGGGGTAACAAGTTTCTTAGTGGTTTTGGTTTTAGTACCTTGATGTCAATCTATGAAATTCTTCATGGAGTTCATCTGAGGTTACTAGATTCTGCTCTGAAATAGGAGGCCTAAGTCCCAGATAATATATTTTGACGTTATCTCTTGGGCATTTATTTCTCTTGGGAGCTTGTGGAGACGAGGTTAATATTCCTTGGTTATTCCTGAATTATCTGGTCAAATACCCTTATATTATCATTTTAAATTTCATACTTCATTAGCACATTGCACATCATTTCCAACAACCTGGTAATTCTGTTAACCAAGTAGATTACTTATTAATTTTCTCCAAATAATACCTTTGGATATTTGGATAATATCTTTCCATCTGGCCATTTTCTCCCTCATAAACTTATTTAGTAGGTATTCAAGGATGCCAGAATTCTCCTGCTCACAAGATACCAGAGGGGACCCCTCCGAATACACATCCTGTGCTCCAGCCTCCCTGCCCACATTCAGCTGCCCTGCTTCTTCCCTGCTGCTGCAAACCATGGTTCTGTTTGTTCAGATTTGGGAGACATGTCCCTCCAAGAACCTCAGAAAATTCTGTAATTTACAAAAGGGACGAGATTTAGTGTCAGCATATGAAACTCTGCAAGGAGATCAGCAATAGGACTCTTTGATGTTCCAACAAACTGGCCCAGCCTCTCAAGCTTTCCCTCATGTAGAATTCTAACAGATTTTCATTTATTGGACTAATGCAGATAACTAAGAGAATTAAAAAATCAATTTGTTCTGTCACCGCCAGTATTTTGCCAACCTGCATGAGCTAGGAGAAATGATCTTTTGTGGCTGTGACATTTCACCCAGGACAAACTGTGCTTCGGCTTAGAGAGATGGTTGAGAAATGCCTGCACATTAGGACAGCATCTTCTGCAAACTCCAGACTTGGATCTTACCTCAGAGTGCATATATTTCACCTGACTCTGCTAATCATACTAAGCCTTCCCTTCCTTATGGAAAAATACTCTGTACTCCCAGATTTATTTGCGTATGAATCACCCTCAGAAGTATCAGGACACTGAAGCCCTGGAAAAGGAATAGGTAAGATGGGAAGTCCCAGAAACCAGGGAACTTGGCTGCAAGTTTATTTATTTCATCTGTGTATATTTCCAGGACAATGGTTGACTGGTATTAATACCAGACCAGTCCATCAGAATATCATTGACCAAAATGAGAATTTCCCTGTTGGGCCATTAGAGTTGCCTTATTAACTCTCCCCTATTCCTCTGGCCCACAATGGATTATGAGATAGAGCAGAAGAAACCAGGCACAGAAGACTCTCCCTCTCATGCTTTACCCCCATACCCTGTGCTCCACTTATGGAAGATGTCTCCCCAGTCCTTGCCACTCCCACAATCAGAGCAGGTGAGGTTCATAATTATTCAGCCTCATCTCCATGGAACCTTTAGGCAACAGAGATCCTTGGGCCATCATGAGATGCTACTTTTTAGTTCTTAGTTACACGAACGTAAGAAAAAGCAACCACCACAAATACATGAAAGCTATTTACTCCTGGTGAATTCCTCAGGGTCCCAGGTTCTGGGGTTCAACATTTCCCATGATGTCAGAGTACTCAGGCCAGGGATGATGGGGACAGGGTGTCAGAATAGTCTTGATGGTCTCGCCAGCAACAGCTTTTTCTTATTTTCCATAATTTGGTCTTAGTTGTTCTCCAGTTGTCTTCATGTAAATGAAGTGACCCATGGCTATCATGATTCTGTAATTGTTATAGTGCCTTTGTAAGCTGACACTGTTCCCAAATCCCCTTACTCACACCACCCCTGTGAAGGGGGTATGGAGGGGTGGGTGGGCTTGTGCATATGAGGGAATGCGAATGATTTCATTCTGACTGAATTGTGCTTTGCTCAGTAAGCACTCAATGCTACCACCTCACTTGTAGTAGAAGTGCTAGGGACGAAACCAAGAGACTGGCTGAATAATGGGAAGGTTAAATGCATGAGTATTTTAATAGGAAAAAATATTAAAAACAAAACCAAAACTCATATGTAAAGAGGCTTCCGACCAGGCCCTCCTTTCTAGCAGTGTTTGGCACCTGATAACAATTTGACATTGGGGGAGGGAGCAGCTTGACAAGGTCGACCTGAAGCAGCCTTGAGATTTTTTTTTTTTTTTTGCCTGCTTCCATTTCTCCTCAGCATCAAAGGAAAGTGCATGGTAAGAAGGGAATCAGACAGCAAGGGGTTTGTACAGTCATCCTGTGAATATGTGGCAAAGCCATCAGGACGCAAACCTCCTGTCTTGAGTTCAGAGCTGTGTGCTTTAAGACTTGAGCCCTCTAAAGACAGAATCCTTCAGGCTGGTCCCTTCCCAAACCTAAGGGGCTGTCCTTGGCCACTTTCAACTCGAGGCTGTTAAGCAGTCTTTAGGATATGTAACAGCCTATGTTTTGGACAATATAGTAACCACAACCTCTTAAATCTTTTAATTCTCCTACTTTATAACCATGAGATAGAGGCAGCCACACTCTAGTGAAGGGGAAGCTTCAATTCAGGTTGTACTTTGGATGAAACATCTCAAGGTGTAGAAGGCTGAGAGGTTCTGCCCAGGCTTGTATTTAGTTGCGGGAAGAGGTGATGTTGGATTTGGGCAGGTCAGGGAGACTCCCTAGAAAAGGTCTTCCCAGGCTGACAAGAGGGCTCTTCCTGTTCCTCACCTCCCTTAGGTGAGGGCTGAAAGCAGATCTCCTCACCTGGGGGCCTAGCTAGGAGGTCTTTTCTGAGTGGGTCCTCTGATGCCTAATTAAGTGATACCCTCTGCTGAAGCTTTTTCCACAGGTAGGGCACGTGAACGGTTTCTCCCCAGTGTGTGTTCTCTGATGCCTGACGAGGTGGTCCCTGCGACTGAAGCTCTTCCCACATTCGTTGCATCGGCAGGGCCTCACGGAGGCGTGTCCTCGCAGGTGCTTGGCGAACGCTGCGCTGTGGGTGAAGCAGCGCCCGCACTCGCTGCAGAGGTAGAGCTCCTCAGCTGCGTGCGTCTTCCGGTGTGCCAGGTACCGCCTGTGCTCACTGAAGTCCTCGCCACACTCTCCACACAAGTAGGGTTTGCCTCCCAGGTGGATTCTTTGGTGTGTTGTTAGCACAGATTTCTGGCTGAAGCTTTTGCCACAAATAGTACAAAAGAAGGGTTTTTCTCCTGTATGTGTCCTCTGATGCCTGACAAGGTCTGAAGTCCAGCGGAAGTGTTTTCCACAATCATCACATCTATAGGGCTTCTCCACGGATGGAGTTCTCTCAGCCTGGGTCAAAGGGGAGGTTGCTTCCAAATCCTTCCGGTTTGGGGGATATTTATAAGGAGCATTCATCTTATGAACCTTTTGGTGCCTGGCAAGATGCGAGCTTCGCGTGTAACTTTTTCCACACTCCATACATTTATAGGGTTTCTCTCCCGTGTGAGTTCTCAGGTGTCTAACAAGGTGGGAGTTACAAGTGAAGCTCTTTCCACACACAGAACAGTCATGGTGTCTCCCTAACAGTGGGTGGACGGGCGTAGTTTCCCGAAGGTTTGCAGAACTATTCACTTGAGAAATGTTTGTACCAAATCTTCTTTCATGAAGTCTACCTGGACTATCCTCAAAGACTATTTCCCAATCTGGAGTCTGGTGAACTTCTGGTTCTCCCAAAATAGGCCTGTGTATATCCTCCAAACTCAGATCTTCCTGCTCCACACACTCTTCCTCATCTTTACTCCTATCTCCTGTAAAAAGGGCAAGAGGAAAATAGGGGTCACTGTAGTGGCAACAATGCCTTCTACACAATGGGGAGATTTTTAAAAAGGGTCTTGAGATGGCAAGACTAAATGGAATCCCTGTCCTGTCCAAGAACTTTCCCATACGTTATGCTACCAACAAACCTTGGTACGTAGAAATATAATCTTCATTTTACAAATGCAGAGATTGAGAATCGAAGGTTTAAGGGAACTGTACAGGAAATGGTATGGCTGCAATCCCACAAGTTAAAAATTTTCCTTCACCCTTTTGTATTACATTGCTATCAGACAAATGATGGGAGGAGAAAAGATGAGGGAAATGACAGAAGAACTGGCTGTCAAGAGGGAGAAAGCAGTACTGGCTGACATGTTAGAAGAACTGATGAGAAGGGGGCCCTACAGAGAGAGAGAAGCACTGCCTAGAGGAACTGCCGGCTCAGGGTGGGTAAGACCCTTTTTGTCATTCCTCACCTGTGTAGGTAAAACTCAGGATTTCTGGCTCTTGAGTCTCTTGAGGCTCTTGGATATCTGGGACCCAAGGCTCTTCCTCTCTAACCTGGGAGATCTCATCAGGTCTGGGGATTGGAAATGCTGCTCAAGAGAGGGAAAATAGGATATCACGATTGGCTCAACAATTCCCTGTGTTAAGAGCGGACCTTTTCTCCTTGGTACGTTGTGGAGCAAATACATAGCTAGGTCAGGTGATGAAATCTTTCATCTCTTTAGCTTGTGTACTTTTAACCAAGTACTGCATATCTCTTGCCTTTCTTGTGGTTTTCACCTGCAGTTCAATAATTACACCCCTGTAACCTTATCCTCTTTTCCCATATTCAAGAAAGCAGATTATCTCCAACTCTTGTTTTGAAACTCATGTGCTTACTTCAAATATTTCTGTACTAAAGCTATAATATTACAAGTTTGTTTCCCTATTAGAGGTTTCCATTTCCAACCATTTTCTCTTTCTTTTACTTGAGGGACACCATATTTTTCACCTAATCCCTCAATTTTAGTGGTGGGGAAGGTATAAGAGAAGTTCACTGCATACAGTCTAAGGTCTAAGATACCCCAAAATTTCCAGCAGGAAAAAAGATCTCTGTGCTTAGAACACTCTAGAATACTTGAAATTCCTTACACAGAGAGACTACAATTCCACAGTCTTCTTCCAAGACATATTCTCCATAGAATTCTTTCTGTGTTGGATCCAGATCACTCCACTGGTCCTGGGAAAAGCATACAGCCACATCCTTGAACGTTACCAGTCCCTGAAACCACATAAGGATTTCATCAAAATGTGACGCTACAGGTAGCCTTGTATTCTGTCCCTGTTGAAAGTCATACAGTAGGTAGACTTCATCTAGGAGATGAAAGGAGCTTGAGAGTGGTGCTGCTTAAACTTATTCTCAGGGGAGCTGCTAAACTCATTCCCCTAGCATCCTGCACTGGCCCTGCCCCCACCAACTCCACCACTTTCCCTGAGGACCAGCTTATGTTCTCTTTCTTTAAGGTATTGTTTAAAATTTAAGAAAAGTCTTAAAAATCATCATTCAGCTCCCTACTTGACATTTAAATGCTATCTACATTTCTGCAAAATTTATCTTTTCTAGTAAACTTTACCTAACCAACTCTAATCAGTTTCAATGGTTTCTACACTCTATAGCAAAAAGAAAACTTTTTTCCTCAGTTAGGTTACAATCTAAAACCATCCATGAATTCTGTTCCTTTTTTCTCTAGCCAGATGGCTTGGTTTCAGGGCTTTGACCATGGTGAATACTTCATAAATGTCTCAGCAGTCCAGTCTGTCATTCTTACAAATGACTATCAAATTTATTCCTAAAAAAAAAAAAACTAAACTAAAAAACCCCTCATTTGACAACTTCAAAGTTGTACTGGAGTGTTACAAAATAATCCCATTTTGTTAGTTCTTCTAGTCAATGGCATATAAATAGGCTTTGGCACCTGTGGATCCAATAGAGAATATTATAATTTATCTCATTTTCTTCTCCCTTTTCTCCCCCGCTTCCAGGCACCTGCAGAACCATGAGCTTAAAACCGGCAAGAGTGTAAATGTGCATCCTGCCTGACCTGTTCAGTATGGCTAATGCCCAGTGGCTCTTCAAACTAATTCTCTGTGGTACAGAGGTAACTAGGGCACACCTGTGATAGAGCAGTAAGAAGAGCAACCATCTCCGAGTCTCCAGAGCTCCTCTCTGTAGGAAGGTCTGGGTCCTGGGGCACTGGAACCTCTAAGAAGAAAAGAAGGCAAAGATCAGCAATATGCAGCATGCCCCAATAATGGGCAAAAATCTGGACATCCCCCACCATCTTTGGCACGAAGGTGGCCCTATCCTTCCTATGTGAACCAAGAAACTGGCCTAAGGGTAGCTCCCATATTCCAATCCCACCATCTACTAGACCATCAGAATGCCAAGAGAACAAGCAAGAATGTTGCTATCTAAGCTTGGCCCTATTTACAGGGGGCTCTAGTTGGTACTGTCTCCTCTTGACATCCTGGATTCTCCATGCAGTCTACGCAGGTTCCTTGCTATAGGAGAAATGTCCCCCTCCTTGCCTGCCTTCTGCCACAGTCCCCCCTTTCTGGTGAGGCTTCCCACCGCTCTCCTGCAGGGGCTGGAGCTCCTCTTCCTGGTGTGGACGCTGCTCTGCCGGTGCCCCCAGATCTGGGCTCTGTGTGGTTTCCTCAGGGGACTGCTGGGGGGTCGAGCTTTGCACGGGATCCTGCAGCTCACTAGGTGACTCAGGCTCTGCTCCTAGATGCACTGTCTCCTCTGACAGGACTTCCTGGCCATGAACATGGACAGTCACCTGGGAATAATTCCAACTTCCAGTCACCATAGAGTCAGGAGGAAGTTCTTGGCTGTCATGGGGGCTTATTTTAGGAGAAGATGCCTAGAGAAAACATACCCAGAGGGACCCAGACAAGGAGGGGAAACTCCAGTTCCACTGCAGCAGGCAGGAGGAGCTGAAGGTTATCTTCCCCAGGACAAGGTAGGGAGTGCAGAGGCTGAGCTGCTCTCTCACATTCCCTAGCCTTGGCCCCCATAACCCAAGGCTCCTTCCATCTCTAACTGTCCCAACTGCAGCTCTCCTTGACTGTTTCCCTAGCTGACCAGCCAGGAAGGAGGGGATCTGTGACTGGGGCTCTATGAGAAACTCTGAGGAAGTCACAAAATTCTCATCTCCAGGAACCCAAGGCTCAACGTTCAAAGAAGGGAAAACCAAAACCGTGACCCTTTGGTGGCTGAGACTCCTCAAATGGTCCCTACATAAGTGTTTCAAAATCCAGAAAGTCACACTCATACACACACATCCCCCTAATCCATTGGGGCTCATGGATCTATAAGCAATCCAAGGGCAAAGCCCATTAATAATTTATGGGGATCCTGTAAGCCCTCCCCCCAAATCCAGCCTTCCAGCAAATAGTCCCCCTCCACATCACACAGATCAGGACTCCCCCTCCTCACCCACCGCCTTGGTCTCCTGGGTTGTTTCTGCAAACCCTCCACCAGCGTCACTGCTTCCTCGCCACTTTCTGGCCGTTGGCCCCGCACCCAGCTCTGTAGTTCTCCAGGCAGGACGGTAAGAAACTGTTCCAGGACAAGCAGCTCTAGGATCTGCTCCTTTGTCCGCCTCTCTGGTCTCAGCCACTGGTGACAAAGTTCTCGGAGTCTGATGAGAGCTTCTCTAGGGCTTGCTGCTTCCTGGTAACGGAAGCGTCGGAAGTTCTGATGGGAGGTCTCCAGCACTGGGTCATCCCTCTGTAAGACAGACTCTGGCCTACAGGTGAAATCATCTTCCAGTTTCACCATCAGAATTCCCTCTTCTTCCCAAAGATCCTGGTCCTCTGGTTCCACGGCTGTAGTCATTTCTTGGCTTTGGGGTGGTCTCACACCATCTAGAGCAGCTCACACTGTCATTAGCTCCCAGCCTCAGCCTGGACACACCAATATTTCCTCCCACGGGCCCTAGGTAGAGAAGTAAAGACAAACAATAGTATAAACATGAAACTACACAAGGACAACAGTCTGAGCTCAATCATAATCCTCTACACAAACTTCTTCAAATGCTTAAATCCTCCTTTCCCCAGCTTCCATAGCCATAAATCAACAGATCCAGTTGGGAGAGGATAATCAACTAAAGGTATGGTCCTCTACCCCATTTCCTAGGCAAGGTTCATACTCCACAAGAAAATACTGTATCTCCACTCAGTGAATACTGCCAATTTCACCTCTAAAGGCTCCAAGTCTGTTCCCTCCTCTTCCTTCCTACAGACCGCTTTGGTTTGAGCCTTCGTCGTCTCCTGCCTGGACTACTACTGTAACTTCCCAAGATCCCCGCGGTACTCAGCTATGAGCAAAGTGCATCAGAATTACTTGTGGAGGTTTTGCAAAACACAGTATCACACAGTGTTTTTCAAACACTCTGATTCTCAGTCAATCCAGGTAACTGTATGTTTCGAAATGTTACATGCAGTTCTAATGTGTATCCATGGTTGAGAAATACCAACCATGAGGGAGGTGTGTAAGGTCATGAGCGAAAGTCCTGGAGTTAAACTGCCTGCGTTTGAATCCTGCTCTATCGTTTACTAGGTATTTCCACAGTGGAACCATAGACATGTTCTCATTCTCCTTAAGCCGGTTTCTCTGTCTACAAGAGGGAGATAATAATGGGTTTCATCTAATAGGCTTATTGTAAGGATTAAACGTATTACTGTCTTTGAAGTGCTTAGGAGAGTGATGGCACCAGCTATCATAATATGGCATTGGCTATTCTTATAATTTCAACTATGTTACTCAATATTTAAAAACAAACCCTTTTTAAAGTAAGATCAGTTCCAAATCCTGGAAATGACATGAAGCTCTTTATAATCAGACCTCAAGCTATTTTTCAAGCTTCAGATCCTATCATTTCCATGTATTGCCTAGTTATAAAAAATGCATTGCTGATCTCTCTACAACAGGGTGCCTTTTCAGCCTCCATATCTTTCTGAAGGTTTTTACTTCTGCATAGACTATTCTCCACCTTTCACCCATCCCCTTTCCATGATACAGAGTATGTTCTATTTCTTTTTAACGGCCTTATCATTTTTATTCCCACGATTTACAGCTTAGGTTCCTCTCGCTTCTCATCTGGATGACTGCAACCACCTCCAAATGCGAGCTACCTGCTCCAGGTTTGTCACCTTCACATTCCCACTCAGTATCACCAGAACGAGCTCTCTTGGCAAATGTGCTCATGTTCTTTTCCTATCTAAGATCCTTCCATCACCCCCTGCTATCTTGTTAATTGAAATACAAACTTCAAAGTATTATACATTATGTTGACATTCATCTTGTTATTCTCTTTGCCCTCCTCTCCAATCCTTTCAGATACATACTACACACACACACACACACACACACACACACACACACACATACATGGAAAGCAAACAAGAGTCCCATGTTCTTTGGCTTTTGAACATGATGTTTCTTTTCATTCTTTAACCTTGGTTAGGTTAAACTTTAAAATTTTTCAAGACGTAAGCTAACACTTTGTCTTGAGATGTTTTCTTTGATCCCATTTCCCCTACTCTTAGACATGGTTAGAAATCATGTAAGTCCTCCCATAGAGACCTGGGCACCTTTCTATCATAGTATTGGTCATATTACATAGCCATCGCTTATCCTTCCTGTGTAACTCTTTGAAGTCAGGGACTATTTTCCATCAATCTCCAATACCTATAATAAAGTACACAATAAATGCATTTAAAATGAATAAAACTCTACTCTGAAGCTTCTTCCTATTGTTAACAGGAAGAACCACTGTTCCATTATGCTTTTACTATCTTTTTTATTATTCACCATATCCTGTTAATTCCACCCTCTAAAAAAACGCCTTTCAAATACCTCCATCTCTTCCTCTCTATTGCCATTCCCACGGTTGAGCCATTATGACCCACTAGAAGGTATTAATAGCAACTTAAAAAAAATTACAATATTTTCTGCTCCTAAATAGCACTGGCACATAACAGGCACTGATACACTGGAGACATGACTTAGTTCAACTTCCATGACTGGTTTTCTTGGTCCTGTCCCCATTCCAGACCAGTGTCCACAAGCAGCTAAAGGGCTCCTTCATTTCTCAATCCTTTTGTGCTGTACTACAGCTGCCTCACATCCACGTTCAAGGTTATCGATCCACTCTTTAACAGCTGTGTCTCATCTGTTGTTGCCCGTCAAATGAGTTTATAGTCAATTACTATATTATCTTTATTCTTTCTCAAAACCCTCTTAATTCATGCTCTTATGACATTGTTTTCATTATCCTCATCACTTGCAACATGCTTTCAGTCTATTTTGGATGGTTCCGATTCCTAGATCTTCCTGTGTGATTTTTCCTCTGCTATCTCTACCTCATGGTGGTTTGTTTTCTGAAGTGGCTTGTATTTTTTTAAAATCTTTTTACTTCGGGAGTCCTCAGAGCCCTGGTAAATGTTAGCTGCTTGAGTGTAATTTCATTTGTTTCTTCCTAAATGCTAATGGTTTCAATGATCTTGGATCAGTTTGTTTATTCTTAAGACTGTCTCTCTGTTGCCCAGGCTGGAGTGCAGTAGTGCAATCATAGCTTGCTACAGCCTGGAACTCCTGGCCTCTCAAGTAATTTTCCAACTTTGGCTTCCCAAAGCACTGTAATCACAGCCTGTGCCACCATGCCTGGCCAAATCAGTTTTTATGTTAATTTCTCAGGGTGTTCCTGAATAATGTTTTTAGTGTATTATTTGGACTGATGCCTTCAAGTAATGTTTGGCCTATCCAAGGCTCTGGATAACCTACTTCCTTGTACTTTTCCTGGGACAGTAGGAAGATTTTTAAAGGTGCAGGTTTGCAGGCTGCTCAATTCCATAACTTTCACACTGCATCAGCTCCCCAAGTTGTATCTCCTTGTTGGAGTACCAGTATTAAAAGCTCAAACCCTAGAAGCTTTATTTTGGTTTGGAATCTCACTGGGCCATGGTAAAGTCAGCTTACACTTATTCTTCTAGCATTTATTTCTTTTTCCTTCTGGAACCTATATGCTTTCCTTTAGCTTTTAAGAAAGAGAGACAAGGAGAGACGGTATGGGCAGATGGGCAGACAAGCACAGGATTTAATAATGGGCAGGAGGCCCATCCACATTAGCTCCACATATGATACTCCCAGTAGGTGAGTGGTGAACTTCCTAACATACAAAATCTGCCTAAGGCTTCCCAGTAACCTTAGGATAACATTTAAACTTTTTTAAATTTGATACACAAAGCCCTTCAAAAGCTGGTCCCCACCACCTCTCTTTCCTTCCATGACTGCCAATCCCATTGAAAGCCACTGCTTGAATTACTGTCTTTCTTTTCTATACCCTTCCTGGGCTTTCCTGACACTGTTCACCCTGTCTGAAGCACCCCTTTCCACCCTCTTCACGTGGTTAACTCTACTCATCTTTCAGATCGCAGTTTTTCCAAGATGCCTTCTCTGGTCCTCCCAGATGCTGCTGCCACAGGAACCTGTATCTCCCCCACAGCAGCACATATATGTGTTTATTTTTTGTGTCATAAAAATTGTTCATCTTCTGTTGAACTCATTGGACTGTAAAGCTCTGAGGTCAGGGACATGCTGCATCCAGCTTGATGCCTGGCACACAACAGGCACTTGTTTCATATTTGAAGAACGCAGAAAACGCTTAATAAGATTTAAAAAGTCTGTTTCCAGAAGGATAGATACCATGTCATATTAACCCATATTCATCCATTTGTCTAGCAAACTGTGTGCTGGATAAAGGCATAGATAGGAAAAAAACATTTATTGTTTGGATTGTGAGTAACGGAATTCTCTTAGTGGTTCCCGAGGTGATGGAACCACAACTCATCACAAGAATCTGCAGGTTGCACTGGGAATAATCCAAATGCAAGTCACACAACACTGGGCATTTGAAAAAAAAATCATTTTCCATTGAGGATTTAAATCAATTTTAATAAGCACAAAATCAGACATCAAATAATTAAATGCAACTACAATACTGATTATTTATCCAGACAAAACTTTCCAACCCCCGCCCCAACTCCTACCCCTGGAAGGTAGAATTAATATATAAGGTCTTTTGGCTTAATAAAAGGACTTATTATCTTAAAGGTTTGAGAACTGACATCCAGTGAAGTAGACTTGGAATCCTCATTGTTTTCATGCAGCGCTAGGTACAAGAGATTCCACAGTATGGATCCTACAACATATACATTGACAAAAGAGTTCCTGGCTTTCAGAGGGCTTTGCTCTCCAAGGAAAAAAGAACATGTAACAGCGCCACACAAAACCTGCCATTTAAAAATGCCCTTCGGAAGTCACAAGCTGAGATTTCTGTTGCTTGTTTTGCATTTACTTTGGCAGCCTAGGAAGATGAAGGAAAACAGATTAGTAATCGAGGGAATGAAGGAAGAAGTCTTGGTGGGCAAAAGACGAGAAACGAGTAGGAGGTACAGCAGTGCTGTGCACGGCACCAAACTGGGTATCCGAAGATGTACGACCCAGCCCCAGATACCCAAGAAACTGGAGCTTCCTCAAGGGTTTCACGAAGTAACATACACAAGAGACCTTGTAAAAGGTAAAGCCCTCTGCAGATAACCACTCTCCTAACTCAGTGATTATCTGAGATGTGAGAGCTTTATGAACTGTGTTGTGCAATTGTCAAGTATAAATATTAGAGGCAGAAAACAGATGTTGTTTTTATTCTATTATTAATGGGATATACTATGCCACAAGTATACCTTGCAATTTGTTGCTTTTGCTGTTCTAGTATCTTTTCTCAATGTCTGTCCCTGGAAGAGTTCCAGAGTAGGATAAAAACTAGAGAGAGAATAGAGAGAATATGAAACCAGGCCAGGATTAAGTAAGAGATGGTTCCAGAAGACACTAAAACAGTATCTGCAAAGATGCAACCTAGTGTCTTGAGTGTGTGTTCCTACAATACATAGGACAGGAGAGAAGATATGAAGGTGTGCAATCCTTTGTGCAATCCTCAGAGCCCAGCTATCTCTGCCCCTTATCTGAAGGTGTCACGTGGCAGTGAAGACCCAAGCTCAATTCTCTTGAGAAGAACAGAAAACCACAGGCAATGAAAGAATATCCAGTTCTCTGCCTTAAAATGCTACTAGCTAGGGTGATCTTTCCGGACCCTGAATGGCAGACTCTGTAGTCATGTACTGTCAACCTAAAGGAGAGACAGTAATCTGCCTATTAACTGGCAAATAATCTTCAGAAGAAAATAGTGATCAGAACTGAAATTATTACATTTAGTAGATATTTATATCCCTTCCAGTCCCCATTCTTATTTTCTACCTTAATGCTGGCCTACACTTTGGGAATTTTAATATGACTGCTTGCTGGGGCTAACCAGGGCCTGTCAACAGCTCCTCTCAGTGTTCTAGAATAGAAATCCACTAATAAAATCTGTTAACTGCTCTTTCTAATGCTGCTGCTATTCTTTCAAATGAAAGACTAGCCCAGTACAATCCTTCTAATGGAGATATTCTTTTATTCTTAATTGTCCTATATGCAAGCTTTTATCTAGGCTTTCCATATATGGTTAGGGGCCTTGGAGTGCTGGATCTGAATTCCTGACCTTGCTTATTATCCATGTAACACAATCTCCCTAAGCCTGTCTTAGCCTCAAAAATGTGGCTATTACTACCTATCTCATGTGGTTGTTTTAAGGAGTAAATGAAATAACCTATAGAAATCCTTCAGCATAGAGTGTGGCATAGGGTAGGTGCTCTACGTATTTCATTCGTTTTTCCTTCAAGCTATTTGAAATCCTTTTGGGAAGGAGGCAAGATTTAAATAAGCAAACGGTCGTTTATTTCATCCTAATTACAAAAAATAGATTGCATAAGGAAAATCTTGGTCTGTTTATTGTTATATTGAAGAAACCATGGTAAACCAAAAAACAATTCTTGTCTTGGAGGCACTTATGAAGTAGGATTAAATGAGTGTTGGAATACAGATGAGACAGAACCTTAAACATAGGTTCTCCCACTGAAGATCATATCAGCAATGCTTCTAACTACCAATGTATCAAAGTCCTCTCTACTCCCTGTAACTGGCAGGAGACAATTTGAGGCAAACTCAGTGTACCAAGAAGTCCCATGAAAACTTAACCTAGATGACACAATGAATGAAAGGAAACGCATTCCCTGGCTTTTGGCCTTCTAACACATGATCAGTATGCTTTAAACCATGTTTAAAACTGTTTCTGTAAAATATTTTTGCTACGTAAGTTTTTTTTTTCCTCTTCATAAAAGTAGTATTTGACTAGCAAGGGGAGAAATGGCTCAAAACTTGTTACAATAGGTTTCAAAGAAAGAGAATACGGCATAGAGAAAGGGAAGACAGGAGGAAAGAAACAGAGGTCAAATAAGTAGGAGGTAGTACAGGGAAGTCAGTGAAAGCTAAGACACAAATATCTTCCACCTTGAAATGCTGTAGATTTTATGGTTAGCCTCAAGATACTAGGTAGGAATAAACATGTCATTGAGAGTAAATATAAACACAAAAATTAAAAATGAAAATTATAATAATTCACTTTCTTCTTAACTAAAATGTTTTTGGTGGTTTTATATATGGTGGGCCTAAGAGGCAATACCAGGTAGTAGATAGCTGCCTTCGAGGAAGGGTGACCTGTGTTCTGTCCCCTGCCCTACATCGTAAAGATGTGTCATCTTGGAAAAGTCACAGCAGCAGCTCATGTTGAATCCTGGGACGATTCTTCATCTAAAGGTAGAGAACTGGACCAGCTTTTTGATGGCGATGAGGGGCTTTGAGAGGAACAAGGTCATATAGCATCTCTGTTGGATTTGGGCCATAATGTATCAGCCTAGGATATTGAGAAAGATTTACTCAAGAGTTGAGGAGGGCTAGGGGCCAAATACAAATTTTCAAGTTTTGAGACAAGGTTTTACTTTGTTGCCAGACTGGAGTGCAGTGGCAAGATCACAACTCACTGCAATCTCTGACTCCCAGATTCAGGCCATCCTCCCGCCCCAGCTTCCCAAGTAACTGGGACTACAGCACATGCCACCACACCTAGCTATTTTCTAATTTTTCTGTAGAGATGGGGTTCTGCCATGTTGCCCAGGGTGGTCTCAAATACCTGGGCTCAAGTGATCAGCCTGCTTTGGTCTCCCAAAATGTTAGAATTACAGATATGAGCCACTTCACCCAGCCTCAAATACAGATTTATTTTATTTATTTATTTTTTGAGACGGAGTTTCGCTCTTGTTACCCAGGCTGCAGTGCAATGGTGCGATCTCGGCTCACCGCAACCTCTGCCTCCTGGGTTCAAGCAATTCTCCTGCCTCAGCCTCCCAAGTAGCTAGGACTACAGGCGCGCGCCATCATGCCCAGCTAATTTTTGTATTTTTAGTAGAGACGGGGTTTCACCTTGCTGACCAGGATGGTCTCCATCTCTTGACCTCGTGATCCACCCGCCTCGGCCTCCCAAAGTGCTGGGATTACAGGCGTGAGCCACCATGCCTGGCCTCAAATACAGATTTTTAAGAGGCCATATTTATATACCTGGTCATCATGGTCATGTTGGTTAGCCTCCATATAAAGCTAGGCTTTCTAACCTTCAGGAAAATTACCCCAAAGCAGTTACTGGCCTAAATGAAGCAGGTCAATGTATAAACCTCAGTTTAAAACAGAACATCACAAACTAACCTGAAGCAAGAAAAGGAGGGGACATCAAACCTGACACCCATCCTGATGAGAGCAATAGCTCTCTTTTGGCAGTGAGACTTATGTATGCAATTCCTACAATGAACACAGTCAATGCCAATCACACAGTCTGAGGAACCATCATCTAATGGGAAATAACCCAACATCATATATAATAGAGCTGACCTGAGGCTTTGCTATAGATAATTCATAACGGCAGTAAATTCAAGTCATTTACTTTGTTTTCAGCTTTTTAATTAACACACCCTGTGTGGATACCCCCTGTTCTATGTCTGGATGACTTCATTCTGGCTTTGCTCAAGGCTCCCCTGCATTTGAGGAGATGATAAAGGATGGGATCCCTGCCTGCTGAACCAGAGGAATCTGAGGAGTACCAGGTTCCCACTGAAGACCAAATCATGACCCAAAGAAGTAATCCCAGAAGTCATTCTTGCTGTGGGCATGGCTTAGTGTCCGTCTCCTCACTGTGGGCCCTGCCCTCAAGAGCAAGGATCTCCTTATTCATTTTTATATTCCCAGTGCCTACCACTTTGTCAAGCCCTTAGTAGAAAAGGTGCCCAATAAATGCATGTTGAGTTTAATTTAGCTTTCTATTTCTCCTTCCCCAACTTGTATATATTCTAGAAACACTGAAAATTCAGAAATCGGCAGGGCTCCTGGGTAATAAACCGTTCACAGGGATAGCTGCAGGAATTTGGCATTAGCATTCATTCCAATCTCTTGGGGTAATCAGGTGGCATAAGCATAACCTGCTTTACTGTATAGCATAAGGTCAGGGGAGAAAAAGTTCAAGAGGGGAGAAAGACAAGGGATGGAGATCAACCCACAAGTATCTACTGAGCATCAATTGTATCCCACACTATTCAAGGCGCTGGGCAGAGAAAGACAAAAAAAGCAGAAGGTCTGACCTTAAGGAACTTAACAGGTAGTTAAGAAATAGCAGGATTTTAGCAATACTAGGAATTCACAGCAAAAGCCCAGAATACAGGTGTAATTTATATGATCAAAAAGTGATGTCCCTATCAAGAGAATTAAGAAAACCAACGGGAAGAACTCATCAATATTTCACCTCAAATTTAGCATATAGTACTCAGTTAAGTACACGTTCTTAATTTTACGAACAAAATATTCAGACCTAGGTGATTAAATTATCCACAAAAGATCAGATTACTAGTTTCCAACACAGAAGTGCTCAAACAAGGGTCTTCTGAACCCCAACCTACTGCAAGGTGATACTACATTTGGCCAAAAGGTAGTTGTTCTCAAAGTGAAGAACCCAGATCTGCAGCATCAGTACCTGAGCCTTGTTAGAAGTACACATTCTCAAGCCCAGCACAGACCTATTACCAGAAACTCTAGGGGAGGGCCTCAGCAGTATGTGTTTAACAAGTCCTTCAGGTGCTTATAGTAAGTTTGAGAACCATCACCTGAAGCAAACGAACTAAATCTGAAGTTCATGCGGAAAGCCATTGTTGGCTACATTAAAGGGTTTGCTGGTGAGAGAACAGTAAAAGCAAGGGGTCTAGAACTGTTTCACATTTTAAATCTGTGCCAAATTAACTGGGGAAAAAAATGTAAATCTGTAACTTACCTCATCTGTACAATTTGTAATGGCTGAGTCCCTCACATTGTAGTAAACCTTGTTGTACCCTTGGAATGACTGTCTACTGCAATATACTATAAAGAGTACAAAAAGTGTATAGCTGGAGGAAAAAGGGTGAAAGATTATGAATCCCAGGTGTTTGGTCCTAGGAGGAAAAATGCCTGTCCTCTCTCCAACCCTGCCCACCCTCTTATGCTACATAGTAACAGCAGAAAGTTCTCCAAGACTGCTCCGCGTTCCCACGCTTCCCACCAACAAGCCTCTCACGGCTATCCCACAACCTTTCTGAAGTAGCTTCCTGGATCAAGCCCCACGGGGCAGCTTAGAAGAGAAGCTGGGAGGGATGAGAGGCTCCACTAGTTTTCCTTGTGGCTTCTGAGTGTAGCTGCCCTGGGTGTCACCTGCAGAGCGTGGATAGAGAAAAAAAACAACAGTTCTAAGCCCAGCCTCTAAGGGAGAGCCTGGGATACGGCGCTGCTCCCCAGGATCAAGGTGGTTCAAGAAAGGCTGGGTCTAAGAGTCTCCCTCTGGGGAGGTCAGTACAGATTCCAAGGCAGACAGGATTATCAAAGCGCCTAGGCGATAAGAACATTCATTGTTCAGAAAAACAAAAATTAAACTGACAGCTTTCTGAAAGAACACAGCCTATCCAGGGCACGCAAACTAACAAAGTTTAAATCAAGACAGACAAGAAGCAGGTATACTCCTGCTAAAAGTAATGCTAGTGCTGGGAAGAGGTGCCAAAACTGGCTGTTAGGAGTGGGAGAGGAAAGTTGCAAGTGGAGACAGCAGCTACTGGCTTGAGGGGAAGCTCAAGAGTCTGTCACAGTGGTAGCTGAAAAGCCACTGGCCAGATGGACGCCAAGGACTACTATCATCACAGGTGATAAGATCACGGGTGAGTGTATCCGAGTGTGTGCGAGGGGAATGAAGGGAGCTTGGGGGTGTAAGGAGATAGGGCTCGCCGGGGCAAGGAACCCGCGGAGATGATCTTAAGCAATCTGAGAGTCGGGGTGAAAAAAGGCTGAGGAAAATAAAGGGGCCTAGACCACTCCTCCCTCTGTTCCGGGGGGACAGTGGCGCGGAAGCGATGGGAGGTACGAGGTACGGACTAACTACATTTCTGCAGGCCCCAGGAGGGGGCGGAGGGCGGTGGCTGGAAAGGGAAGGAAGCCAGGAGCGCCATCCGCGTCCCCGGAGACACTGGCTCTCGCCACCAGGAAACACAGAGGCCACAACGTCTCGGTCCCCTCAGTACACCGCCGCCGCCCCTTCCCCAGGACACGGTGATTTCCCCAGGCTCTCGGGGGGCGGGGTCTCCGGTCCCTCCCCCTCCTCCCCGCCCTGCCCTGCCCGGCTCTGCCCGATCTGGTCCGGCCCGGTCCAGCCCGGCCCGGCCCAGCCCAGGCCCCTCAGCACTCACGGCTCCGACAGCTCCGGCGGCTCCTCCCCTGCCCCGGCTTCTCTCCCACCCACTCCCGATCGAAACAGCGCCGCCGGATCCGAGCCGCGCGGGGCCTAGCGGGTCGGAACACGTGGGGCCTTTGCGCCCGGAACCGGAAGAGAACGCTAGCCCCGCCTTCTCGCCGCGCTGGAGCCTTTCTAGGCTGTGGGAGGTTTGGTCCTCTCCGCTCTCCGCGGGTTGCGGTTCGGGTGTTCGCCAAAGACCCAGTGCAAAGAAGCTTTGGACCCCACGGCTTCCCTTTGCGACCAACCCTACTCTGCAGCGAATAAGTTAATATCTTAGGCTTTTCATTTATACGTATACCTTCTGCAAGATTCTTCTTTTTGTTTTCTGTTTTTAGTCTTTTGTGTGATTGTTTTGGATACATCGATGTGTTTTTCTTGATATTTTCTTTGCATTGTCTGCGGCAGCATGGTAGAAAAGGGCAGCGTTAGGTTTGAATACTGGCTCTTGCATCCACCATCAGCATCAGGGCCTCGGCCCAGTATCTCCCATCTCTGAACCCTAGTGTGCATCATATTGTGACATGGTAATTGCCCCATAAACTGCATACCTCGACCATACTTCGGCTTTGCATGGAAACTGCTCTCTGTAACCCCAATGTGATAGGCAAGCAGTCCAAACCCACGCCATCTTGGCCCCTGTGACTTGTAATAAGTAACTAAGGTCTGTAATTTCCACCCTACCCAGGCGATGTGTAAACTAACGCTTATCTTGATTTCTGTGAACCACTTAAGTAACAATCGGAGTGTCCAAAGTCCACTGGCCCTCAGAATGTCCAAAGCCCCTCGCCCTCACCCCCGCCCGGGAGGTGGTTTGCGGAATTCCAAAGTCCACTGGCCTTCAGAATGTCCGAAGCCCCTCACCCTCACCCCTGCCCAGGAGGTGGTTAACGGGCATAAAAGGTCTTGACACCCTTCTTTTGGGGCCACGGGTTAGAGAGACCCAAGTCCTCCGTGGCCGCCTGCAATAAAGACCCTGTAATTTGGCCTAGTCTTTGTCTCAGTGGTGATTTCCCGCTCTCTCGGTTACAACAATATAAAATGGGCATAATAATACCTTTACTGTGAGGACTAAATGAGACATTGCTCATGAACTGATTGGAACATCAGAAGCTCAGAGAATAGTATTGTTATTTCTTTTCCTTTGAGGGTTGCTTCGTATTTCTTTACTTTCAGGCTGTCTTCCCTGATCTCATTTGTTCATTTTTGTCTGTTCGGTGACATTTCTGCCCATACCTGACATTTTCCTTTGCTCTCTGTCCCTTTTACCCTGTAAGTCACCACTCTCCACATGCCATGTGTCACTTCATTTGCTGGGATCTGTTTTCTGGGTTTGAACCGAAGGTATTAGTTACTTTTGGTGGAGGGAGAGTGTATTAGCGAAACAGAACTAATAGATGTGAACCCAGAAGGTGGGACAAACCAAGCAGGGAGGGGTCTTCCAGGTCATAGGTAGATAAAAGACAAATGGTTGCATTCTTTTGAGTTTCTGATTGGCCTCTCCCAAAGGACGCAATCAGATATGCATTTATTTCAGTGAGCAGAGGGGTGACTTTGAATGAAATGGGAGGCAGGTTTGCCCTAAGCAGTTCCCAGCTTGAATTTTCCCTTTAGTTTAGTGATTTTTGGGAGCCCAAGATGTTTTCCTTTCACATAAGGTATATATAAACATATAAAAGGAGATTTATTATAAGGAATTGGCTCACATGATTATGGACATTTAGAAGTCCCACCATCTGCTCTTTGCAAGCTGGAGAGCCAAGAAGGTTGGTGGTATAATTAGTCTGAAGCTGAAGGCCTGAGAACTGGAAAGGGACTGAGGTGCTGGTATCTGAAGGCCAGAGAGCAGGAGGAGATGATGTCCTAGCTCAAGAAGAGAGAGGTGAATTTACTCTTCCTCTGCCTTTTAATTCTATTTGGGCCCTCAATGGATTGAATGATGCCTAGGCTTGTTAGTAAGAGTGATTTTCTTTACCCAAACTACTAATTCAAATGCTAATCTCTTTTTCTCTCTCTCTTTTTTTTTTTTTTTTTTTAGACGGAGTCTCCATCTATTACCCAGGCTGGAGTGCAGTGGCACGATCTCGGCTCACTGCAACCTCTGTCTCCCAGGTTCAAGCAATTCTCCTGTCTCAGCCCCGCTAGTAGCTGGTATTACAGGCATGTACCACCAAACCCAGCTATTTTTTTTTTTAATATTTTTAGTAGAGACGGGGTTTCATCATATTTAACAGAAATACCCTCAAAGACACACCTGCTAATAATGTTTTACCTGTTATCTGTAGTCAAGTTGACACATAAAATTACCCATTACAAAGAGGAATGTACATTTCACGAAAGCTTACTGTGTACCAAATGTTTTCCCCAGGAAATCTCATTGAATATTTTAAAATATTAGTATTAAGTGCATAAATAATACATGACAAAGTTCTTCTAAACATTTAAAGCATTACAGTGTTAAGGAAAAAAACTATTCAGTGATACTTGTTAAAGCATGGTAAGGGAAACCTGATTCAGTACCATCACGAAAGGTAAAGAGACCACTGCAATGAAGTCTTGCTGTAGGGACGAGAGATTGGGCTCAACTTCAAATAAAAATGGGCAAGTAAGAATGTATAGTCAAAGAGCTTTGATGAGAGTTTGGGACGTCGATGGATTGAAAATTACTAACGAGAAACTCAGGAAAAAAAAATTAAAATAATAATAATTATTATTATCGGGATTATTATTATTAAGGGGAATTCTGGCTAAGTCAACGTAGTAGGATTCTTGCTGAAGACAGAGGCCAGGGTGACCAGACATCATCTGGGGGATGGTGGAAGCTGAGGAGCCTGATCCGGTATTAAGGATGGTCAGAGAGCGAGGATTGGGGAGTTCCTGCTAAAGGACTTAGCAGAGTTCTTTGCTAACAGTAGATCTTACAAGGAGGTACACCGATATGTCTAGGAGAAGTTTCGGAGCCTGACAAGTTTGGAGAAGAAAAGAGATTTTGTCAATGGATAAAGCTATGACATTTTGACCAACTCTGGCTTCCTCTTCTCTCTCCAGAAGTTAGCTATTCTTATGACCCGAGTGTGTTTATCGTCCAGATCTTTTTCTTTCTTTTCATGTACTATGTACATATGTATCCACTAAAAGTAAATAGTATTATTTTGTGTGTACATGTGTGTATGCCTGTGTGTTCATGTTGAATTCTTCAATTGGTTTTCTCTTAGCAGTGGGTCTTGGAGATCTGTTGATGTGGTAAATAAAAATCTCCCTTATTCCTTCTACTTTCTGCTTACCATTCTATAGTCTGAATAGCCATTTGCCTATTGAAAACATATGTCATTTATAATCGTTGGGAATACAAACAATGCTATAACAATCACCGTCTTTGGGCATACATGCAGTGATACTCTGAGATGGATACTGAGAAAGAGTACTGCTGGGTCATAGGTTGCACACATTTAATGAATACTGCCAGGTTTTCCTCCCAAATGAATGCGCCTGTTTACACAGTGCATGA